GTAAAAAATAGTAAGACAGTATTAATACTGTATACAAAAAAGAACAACAATAACAATATTTAAAATTTAATAAAATACTACTCGATGACTTACTAGACTTAAAAACTAGATTATTTCATGTTCCTAAATAAAAATCGCATTTCACACAATCGCATGACGCTTTGGATAAATAATATTTCAATTTTTTTTCTCATATCTGTGCCTATTGTTGAAATTGTATTTCATTTGAGTTGCACTGGTAACACGCACTGGTCTTACAGCCCTGACGAAAATTTCCGAATACTAGATTTAATAATTGATAATCGACAATGTATGAATCTATACAAAAGCAATACATTATACAGTCAAGAGTGCGAAGAAAATGTTTTAAATCAAAGCTCATTGTCAAAATCTTATTTACCTAACACGTGTAGCCTATTGATGAACTGTCATAAGATCCTAGGAATTTATTGCAAGAAAGACATAAATTGCTACGAACCCAAGCAAGAGAAATAGAAACAGTTAAGAGTGAGAGGAGGAGATGCTGTTTACGTGAGAGTGAGTGAGTTAGTGGCAAAGTAGGCCAACCGGTAAAGTGCGGTCGATAGCCGATGGGAGCTCTGTTCACACCTGCACTTACAAGCTTACATTTACAAGACCTCCACTTACAAGCTTACATTTACAAGACCTCCACTTACAAGCTTACATTTACAAGACCTCCACTTACAAGCTTACATTTACAAGACCTCCACTTACAAGCCACACTGAACAAACCCTGAATCTACAAAACCTGTGTACTACACATGGATTCGAATGAATAATTTAAGATTAAATGATTAAATTCTTAAAATTTCCACCAGCATGTGATATTTATTTAAATTGATGTATATCAATCAATAAATGAGAGAAATACTTAAAGAAAATGCGTATTGCATTTAGGAAACACATGCTGCATATCTATTGCACGATACTCGGTTTCATAAGTTTTTCACTGTTTAAGTAGACCTATTCTTTTTTAAGTATTCAGGTATATAAGTATACCTCAACTTGCAGATGGTTCTGTGTGTATAAGTGCAACATTGCCAAATAGTATTTTATTTTTATTTTTATTATGACACAACCTATCCGGCGAAGCTGGTCTTGGTGAAGAGAAAGGTAATCAGGTAAAATATATTGTTAAAATTAAAAAAGTGAATAAATATTGCTGTTTATTATGTAGTTCCTTAACTACTCAAAACCTCAAATCGTACATAAAGTTTAAATAAGTCCAAATTTTGTTAGATATGTATTTTACTTTAGAGCCGTTTTACGATTTGATTTGTATGAAAATATCTATGTTGTTTTGTTTTATAAGAATTTACCATTGACATTTTTTTGTCTATTGATTTTATTGTTTATTATAATTTTTTTAGTTGGAAAATCTATCAAAAACACACTAGAAGTGGTCCTAGCTGGTTACCGAGCTGGTGTAAGTCCATCTTGGACACAGACATAATGTAGTTCCCACTTTCGAGTGATTATCTAAAACACATTAGCCTACAACAATGCCTTCACGAAAAGATTGATCACGCCAGAGTCAAGACTAACAACACTTTCATCTTTTCCACTTCTATTACCCACTATCATTTCTTATTACCTCTAATGGGATATCAATATGACAGCTCCATCGACCAACCCAGCCGCGTAACACATATTCCGTGTATCAGGCCAGCCAATCATCAATCACGATTGTTATGACGCGGCAGCTGCGACCAATCACAGTCCAGGATTCAGTGACCCTCGTCACAGCGGTTACGGTCTGAACTTATGACTGGAGTGAGAACGACTTTGGGTCCGAGAATTCAAATTGGCACGACGGATCTGGGAACTTGCCATAAACTGTTTGGTTTATGGTTTGACAAGTTGAAGAGGTTCGACTTTTGTTTTACTTTGTTGACTAGACAGTAAATGTAAATATAGGATAGCTTGAAGACTAAATAGCCTTAATAGGTGAATAAACATAAAAATCGAGAAGAATACAAATGTATTTTGAAGAATTTCTAATTTAAGAGAAGATGTTTTTCTGCATTTGTTTGCAGTTGAACAAAACCCCTACACAATTTGGTAAATAAGCTACTGCACTGTTTTAGTACTGAAGTAGACAGTTAGTAGGAGTAGACTACTGTTGGCAATCTGTTCTGAGGAGTGGTGTTTAACTGACTACTTTACGGCTTGACAAATATTTGGCACGTCTAGCGGCTAGGCTAGACTGTACAGTGTACGTGTGCACAACCGTTTACCATCGCTATGTACTACACCCTTGCAACATGTGCAGTGTGTGTTATTCAACTGTAAGTGCCTAGTGCTTGGTGAATGAAAATGGTTGTGAAGATTGTGGTTCATATTAAAAATTACAATTGTGAACTATTGGCTTTTGTTACTGGACTTTGTTACTGGTCATATATATTTCATGCGAATGAATTTAAACAAGTAACATTTCTATAATTAACCTTCTCATAAACTAACGCTGTAAGATTGATATTCTTGTAATGATATATTTTACTTTTGGTGATGAGATTATACTATTATATTTATAACTTAAAAGGCGAAAAAAGGCTTATTTAGCGCATTTCCCTATAGGGAAGTAACTATTACTATAACTAGTAACTATTAATAGGACCGGGACCGATTTTTTTTTTTTTCATTTTGATGTCCCCAGAGGCCACAACACCATTCGTTCAAAATATTATTATATGTATACTGTATATATGTTTACAGACTGTGTGTGTTATATATATGGCCTAACACGATAACTCGAGTAATTTTTGTCCGATTTTGATGCAATTTAATTTAAAGGTGTAAGTCGGGATAAACTTAAATGAGTTCGCAAACCAGTATGTTCGGACAATGTTAACGGGGTTTAACGGGAAGTTTTATGGTGCCAAAATTGGATGTCATAATTTTTGACTCTTGAAATTAAAATTGGAGTTGTCAGTTGACATGTAAAATAAATAATAAATAAATAAATAAAACAAACATTTTCCAATTTCTCTCTAGACCATTTTAAAGAGTAAAAAACAAATGATTTAGTATATCAAAGTGTTTTTGTACTGTTATTGGTAACGAAGAAAATTAAAAAAAAAAAATTTAAATTTAAAATTCCCATGCTATTCTTATGGACAATATTGTAAAATGTTGTAGTTTTTTTTCTTCTTGGATATATTTATATCAAACCTGGAATATGTATTTATTTTATTCTAACCTATTAATATTTAAATAAAGACCTCAGTTTATTAGTTTCCCTGTAGCAGCAAACCTAGGTACTCGTTAAACCTAATGTTATATAAATAGTTTTAATTTTAAATCAATTCAGTCAAATGGAAATTTGCAAGTCGACAGGTTTGCTGCGGCCGGGGTATTTTAATTTAAATCTGTCGTTAATAACTAATAAGAAAGCTATTCCATATATGACGAGATGGGAAATTATTTACCAATTAGCTCGACCCATGAAATGTTGTGTTTTCATTTGTGCAATTTTTAATCAGAAAATAATTAGCTCAATGTAGGTCAAAGTCAATACTATTATGACGCTGTTAAAATATTACAGGGCTATGATTATCACTTAAAACATTTTTCATTTTTGTCAAATATTTTTGTTTACTTCCCTACAAACTGTTCATAAATTAACTCATATAATATAAATGAACTAAATAATATTAGCTTTATAACTTTTATAGCATCTTTTTCAACGCACAGACAACTATTTATCTCAATATTGCAGAACCTATAATCAATAACACCTGTACTTGTATTAGATACCTTGTGGTAATCATTAGTAACATTGAGTCCGTAACATCTGAGAAAGATACAAATCCTATTATTTTTCAACTTCCAAAGAGGCACGTATTAATGTGAAGATATATTGATATACAAGCCATATACACATATTTATTTTCATATCCATGGTAGATAGTGTGGCCAAGCCAAGAGTTTTTTTTTTTTTTTTTTACTCTAGATATTGTTGTGGCCAAATTGCGTCGAAGACTAACTTAATGTAATGTAGTGATACGTTATTTTTATCTTAAGTCTAAATTATATTGATTTGGTAAACACTTAGGCCCATTTAAACCTTTAATAGCCTAGATGTATCTTTATTGGATACAAAATCTTAATGCATTTTGATTCAGTAGTCTTAGAATAGTTCCGACAAATGCATATGAGATATAAAACTATTATTGACTTAAATTAGGTACTGTACACTGTAAATTTTATTTATTTATTTATTTTTAAGACAAACACATTCTTTACAATAATTTTACATTGTGATACATGCCACAAGATGCTTATTAATGCTGTTAAATGTTGTACAGATAAGAAACATTTACAGTATGGTAGGCCTACATGTAAATGTCTTTTTGGAGACCTAATTATTTTAATTTAAAAGTGTGATAGGTAGTGTTTTATTTGTACAGTTTCATTTTTACAAGTTGTATTGTTTACGTTTTTAGTAAAAGTCAGGAAACGGCCCAGTCTTTCGTCTAGTTACTATCCAGTGTTCACATGCAGTTTGTAAGCATAATTAATTAATAGTAAAATGTATACAGTACATATTCTGCTTGTATGAATAAATAAAAAGCTCACTATTGTATTTAATTTAATGAAGTACAAATAGTACGGCACTTAAGTCTTCTACGTTTAACTTTTTACAAATACTTATTATCTTAAATTTCACCGCTTTGGGATTAGAATTATCCATTGAAAATACGTATCTTTAAATGTTGGCTGAACTTTGAAAACTGTGTGATATTTTTTTTATGTTAAAGTAATATCGTAATATCTATTAGGAAGTATATTGTTCTTGTTTACCGTCGTGGATGTTACTCGTTTCTTAAGTTTTGCATAAAAAGTTGATATACAAAACTTCATGCTAGAACTTGTTTTAGTTATTATACGCATTGGTGTTGCCACATTTGATTCACAAATCTCTTGGTCGGTACTGTATAAACTACCAATATATTTAGAAAATTTATAAATGTACATACAATCATCCTCAGGAACGTGGCGAGCGCATCCTCCCAGACAGCTGAAGACACATAAGACTAATACACTGTGTAGCCACATAATCCTCACATAAACCACATGATCGGGAACACAACACGACTGTGGAAAAAGACGACGAACCGCACAACGACGCTGCCGCACGCACACTACACTGCCGCGCCGCGACCGTCGGCGGCCAACAATCGGCCCGGAGATAACCGAAGATCGGCGGAAACACGCGAAACCGCTACACCTTGTATGGAGCGATCTCTAGCGAGAGTTTCAGCAATGTAACAGTTTGGAAGTAACGGTACCAGTGGATACAAGTCTGGGTACTTCATGGTTAAATAACTGTTATTATGTATCCATGTTGGAAAGAGGTATTTTGTAGATACTGAAGTGCTTTGGAAACCTAGTAGGATATTAAAATATTGCTGAAGTGTATGTGTTACACAAACTGACGTAATTTTGTAACATTACTTGGTAATGTGAGTGTAGTAGATAGAAAATTAAATACTTTACAGGACTAGAGCGCAAACTCGTAGTTGACATCTTTGAATCGCATACTGTACCCATATATTTAAAACTAGGTTGTCATACATAACTTATGTTTTTTTTTTTTTAATTACAACAAGTAACGATAAGATCAGTTAAGTTATTTGTATGTCTTTTCGCACATTTCAGTGTGCAAAGCTTTTTGTGATGTTGCCTGCATAACTAGCCTAATACACTGTGTAAAATAGTTGTTATTATGAAACAATAACAGTTTGTATTTAAGTTAATTTTTCGTTTGGAAACTTGTATTCTATACCTCGTACCACTACGGTGATAAAATACAAAATTCTAATTAGAAGTAATTAATTATTGCACATTTTCAATAATATAGCTCGAATGATTTCATAGATTTGCAACCATTAACAAATTAATTTTTAGTTTGAACAGAAAAATTCCGAAACAATTCAATATTCAACAAACGCAAGACTATACTGTTAATTTAAAAAAATATCTTAACCCAATCAACTACACTTAAGTATAAGTTCTACAAAAACAAAAATAATTAGACTGGAATAAAATGATTCATAAATGATTCCTACCCCGAGTTAAAGGCAGTGCTCAAATGACAACCAAATAAATAGGTGCAATTTATTAGAACCATTGTACTATTTAGGTAACTATAAACATTCTTTAAAAAAATCAATATTGTTTGGTTAAAATAAAACCTCGTACGTTCCTGTTATAGATTGAACTGAAGATGTGTATATTTCTTTGAAGATCGTCTGACACTCCGTCGGGTGAATCAAGTTTATGATTTAGTCGCTATAAACCCGTCGGCGGAGTGTGGAGTGTAGGTTTCTCGCTACATACAAGATACGAACTAACCTGACAAGCTACAAGTCGAGTCATATTTATGATTAACTCGCTATAAACTAGTCACCATGGTGTAGGTGGAGTGAGGGGGGGACTTCACACCATATTGAAAGGATACGGAGGAGTGGGGTGGAGGGGGGGGCTTTAACACCACATCGAAATCTACAGAATAAGCTATAAGTTACATATACAGCTGTAACATACACGCTACGGCTACAAGATGGTACTTCAAACTAAAACTATAAGTTTCAGCTAAAAGTTACAGCTACAAGCTAATACTTCAAGTTACAGCTATGTCTGCACTACATGCTATACAGCTATAAGCTACTTCTATAATTTACAGATGCAAGCAGATACAAAATATAGCTACCGTACGAGCTATAGAAAAAAACTACATATATATTTACAACCCAAGAAAAAAAAACAAAAAACTCTACAGATACATTATCCTGGTTTCAGCTGCAGGATTCAGTCTAATGGTAAGTCTATAGGAAACGGGATACAAGCTAAAGTAACAAGGCATAGTCTTCATGATACATGCTACTGGATACAAGCTAAAGCCACAAGCCACAGCTACAAGCCTTAGCTACAAGCATTGAATATATATTTGACTATATCTACAAGTCACAGCTACAAGCTCCTAGCCTTCGAAGTCGCAGACGGGTATGGCAGTGAAGCACGTAGAACCCCTGTGGACCTACAGGTATAGTGCGTTTAAAATACAAATTATATTCGAGACTGTGCCCATGTATTATTGAACAGCCACCTCCGAACTATTCCTGGCGCTTTTCGAATTCATTATAATCTGCTGAATATTGATTTAGTAACGCTTATTGCCTCACTTTTGTGGGGCGAACTAGGAACGGATTTTTTGTCAAATTAGGTTTCTAGGAACAAATTATGTATTTGTTAGAGATGAATCTGTAAAAGGTAATCATTGGCTACTTGAAAATGGAAATACGAGTTCCCTGTAATAGTCTCTCTAAATTAGTTTGTTTAAGTTTTAAGGTCAAGTTTTGTTATGTTACGATTCTTACACATCTGAAGGTGTTGGAGCCAAATATATAATTTTATCTTACATCAGTTTACTATTCTCCTTTTTTACATAGGATATCAATAAAGTCAGAATATTATTCCTTTCGATTTCTTCAAATAAATTAAATTGAGATGTTACATTTTGAGACGGCCTAAAACATCTCTTAGTCTAATTTATTATTTTTTTCTAATAGTTTTACTCGAAATTTGAAAAACTAGGATAAATTAAGTAAGAAAACAGAACACAAAGAGAAATTTGTCGCGTTTATACAAACGATACTACATGGTTGAGGAGAATTTGTTCGTGTATTTGTTGTGTACTCAATTTACTTGTATATATTCTACAACCTGTGTTTTGACAAACTAATTTTAACGCCCAATAGACCCGACTGTCAGGTCTGTGTGTCAACCAAGGTGTATGGTTTGTGTGGTTCCCACCCCTCGGAACATCTGGGGGGCAGATCCTATCTAGGGCCACTTCTCGCCTTCCTAGATAAACATCTGTAAAACACATCCGTCACTCTGATAGAGCTGTTTGCCTTTGATTTTAGGAATCACATTCTCCTAATTGCCTGCTTTTCTTTTACTATAAAAACTATAAACAATTTGTTTGTTTAATATTGAAAAAGCATTATTTTGAAAAATAATTGGTTGATACTCATAAGTAAGTTGATGTGAAGATATATTATATTGAGCTAATTCAATTAACTTTTCACTTATAAATTGTTATCACTCATCCAAAACGTAATGTGACATTGATTGATATAGTGTCAAAGTATTGAGGGTTTATGTTTATTCTTTACGTCAATTCCATTTTTGAAAACTTGGTAACCAACGAGAGAATCTGTTTGGATTTTTGAATATCGTAAGTGATGAAAGCCAATAATAACATCTTGTATGATGACTCGTTTTAAAGTTTTGGCTAGATATTCTAGTGCCCTAACTGGAAGTACGATTTAAAATCTATCAAATCAGCAACGGATTGCTTTGTGTATTTTTATTTTGCGACTCGGTGGTTCGAAGCCCACGTTTATTTGTTGGTAAAACTAACTACGGTAGGTCTCTCGTCACAAACTTATTCTGTATTGATAACTCCACTAAAAGTTTATAAGATACTAATAACTTGAACGTCTTATTTTATTCTAACAATATTAGATGATAGTGTATAGTCAAACATCAAATCATCCATGCTACAAGCCAATAATGGTCCCCAAATAACCTTATACATTGGGGCGATGACACTATGTTTTCACAAGTGCACTGTTGATCCATGGAGGTTTGTTTACTTATAAATCAGTTTAGGGTCAAAAGTGTCCCGTTGACAATACGACATGAGCTAGTCGGGTCTCGGGTGGCTAATGCCTCATCCGGTGAAAGATGAATTAAAAACAACACCCATTCCTTCCTGCCATCGCTCTTGCTCTAGTTGGATTATTTTAAACTGTACTAATTATATACGCGTGTAATGTATATGGGGGAGAGGTTTGTAAGTTGTTGTTGCAACTACTTTTACAAGTCCCTTGGTACTGAGTGTATCGTAAGTAAGTTTTAAAGAAAGAAATGTGCGATGAATACTTTTTTACTGAAAACTGCAGCTTAGTTGTAACGTGTTTGACTAATAAGAAATTGCTGGTTGGGGACTGTTCGCACGTAGTATCGTATCATTACATTCACCTCTAGCTTAGTTTTACCACAGAATAAAAAGTGCATAACGTAACTGTCTTTTCCGTCCTTATATCCCCACCAGACCAATAGTCTATGTAACGAAGAGATAAGTTTAAAAACGCAAGGAAAAAATAAATAAAATTAGGTCAAATATCCGTTGTCTCCAGGTGACGAGATCTATCCATGAAAAAATACTTCTTTTGATTTAAATTATGGATATTTTACATTTTAATGCTGTACAAAAACATTCACACTATGTTTTTCCTACTGTTACCTAACAATGTACATGTTCTCTCACTGATTTGACTCTAATTACTTTGTCTCACTCCAGATTTGCAACGAGAAGGCACGAAATAGTGAGCGCGTAACATGCAGGCAACGTCGTATGCGCGCGAAATACGTTGGCAGCACTGGCTGTAAATCAGCTGGTCAGCTGTTGTACTGTTGTATTTGTCACTTCACATTAAATGTTACATTAAAAGTTCACTTCTGTGTAAAAATAGGTTATGTTTCTTCACCAATTTATTTGTTTTATGGTAACTGTAGGAAAATTATAATGTGCAACTCGAGTTCAAAGTACAATTGCCTCACTCGAGAAACCATTCCACGGCTCGTGAGTGAGGATTTCTCTCGAGTGAGTCAATTGCTCACTTTTCTCATTAGTTGCACAAATAACTATTCTCCAAACATTTAACCCAAAAGGTGTGTTTAAGCAATATATAATTAAATTTAATTGAGTTAAAATTTTGTTAGCCACGACTAGATAAAAAATATAGGTTTTCAAGGGAAACTTTTTCTGACATTTTTACATACAATCAGAAAGTGATGAAAATATCTATATATATAATACTTGACAGTCAATCAGAATCGGTTAAGAGGTATGCCATGACCCCACAGTTATTGTAATGACTTTAAACATATTCTGTAGCGGTCAGGTAGTTAGTTGAGCTACTTGTTTGTGAATTATCATATAATGAGATGTGCCGGTCTATCGGCCAACGGTGTCCACCCTCAGTCAATTTATAATTCAATATGACCGGCCCTTGACAACAGTTTAGGGGACGAGGCCC